AATAATAAAAAAAATTGAATTTAAAAAATTACCTGACTTTTTAGTTTACTTATATTTGAAATGGAAAGCATAGATTTTTGAGGATCACGTTAACAGTTACTATGGAAAGAATGGCTATCACTTTTTACCTTAATGCAGTATTAACTTAAAGGTTAATTATGAGAAATATGAAAATTTGCTGATAAAAGCATGGAAAATTATAAATCCACCTGAACAAGTAGAGAATATGTAAAATTCAATTTGGGTACTCTGAATCTTGCTTGTTTCTGAAGAAAAGGAGATCAGAAATGCCATTCCATTAGTCTTGTTGCCCTTCCTTTGAGTATTCAGTATTCAGAGGAACATGTAGCACAAATAATCTCAGTACATACGGAATGCACAAAGCACAGTTTAAGAAGAAAGCATTACCTACCACCAGTAAATCTGAGCTTTATGCTGCCATCCAATTATCAAATTAGAAGCAATATTTAAAAGAAAATTTACTTTAACCTTTATATGGACATAATCTTTTTTTTCCAAAAATCTGTACCACTTGACATTGCAATAAAATTGGCTGAAAGCCTGGATTCCTCTCCAGCTGGTTGTCTACCTGAAGAAAGTTGATATATGTTTTTTCAAATATATGTCAATCATGTATACATGACTAGAAACTGCTTACCCTACCTTTTCAGTTTACCTGAATGCCTGAATTTTTTCTATGTTGCTATTGCTGTTACAACTTTATTAGTCACTCTAGCTTAAGTGGGTATTTCTTATACTATCAAGAATTCTTTTGTTGATTAGCAAATTTCCCATAAGAAGGCAAAGAAATAGGACATGGGTCAAGTCAGTTACAAAAGGAAAGAGAGACTACAATGGTTCATTTGGACTGTAGGCTTGAAAATGATATGAAAGACTGGAGTTTCTCATGTGTTGCACAATTCTTTGGAGAGGATGTTTGCAGAGGTCAACAGGATTGATAGGAAATACAAAGCTGTTGACACAAGGATTACTTCATTCTGGGATGGTCTCTCACTCTGAAAAATATCTGAAAACCCTCCTGTTTAAGTCCTCCCCCCATTTAAAATTCTCTAATGGAGGTGCCTGGGTGACTCAGTCGATTAAGTGTCCAACTCTTGATTTCGGCTCAGGTTATGATCTCAGGGTTCTGGGATCAAGCCCTGTGTGGAGCCCCAAGTGGGGCTCCATGTTCAGCATGGAGTCTGCTTGAGATTCTCTCTCTCCCTCTCCCTCCGCCCCTCCCCCAACTCTCTCTCTCTCTCAGATAAATAAATAAATAAATCTTAAAGTAAAATTCTCCAATGGCCTTGAATTACATTTTGAATGTCCAATTTTTTCCATTGTAAGTGATCTGGCTCCTACTACATCTCTGACCTTATCTCAAACCACTCAGCTCTTTGCTCACTATGCTCCAGCCTTAATTGGCCTTGATTGTGAACCTCGAATGCCAAACTCAGTCTGTTCCTTTTTTTCTAAAAGGCTCTTCTGGCTCTTTTATGATTACATTTCTATGATTTTTCAAGTCTAATCTTACACATTACCTCTCAGAGAACACTTGGTGATGACATGACTGGGCATATTACAGTAGGAAAAACTGCTCTTGGGTCATCAGCTGAATCCTGACAACACTGTGAAATTAAACCATAAATTCAATCAGGTGCAACAAAAGAAAACAGAAACTTCCTACCAGTCTCCTGTTTAGCTTTTTTTCATTCCTCCTTCCTCCTTTTGTGATCATGCTACAGTGTATCAGCAACAGTTCTTGCAACATTAAATGTCGATTTGTTTTCACATCACCCACTCTTAAATCAATCATTTAAGAACAGGAATCAGTTTAGATCACTCACCCATCAAATGTTTTATAACGACTTTGCATTATGGTTTGAATGTCCAACTTTTCCATTATCAAGTCTGTCTCCTCCCCACCTCGTTGACCTCATCTCAAACCACCCAGCTCTTTGTTTACTAAGTTCCAGCCACTCTGGCTTGATTCTGTTCCTCAAATGTGCCAAATTCAGTCTGTTGTTCCTTTTTTCTTTTTTCTTTTTTTTTCCTTCCACTCAGACTGCGTCCTCTTACTCCCTGGAAGGAGGAGAAGAACGATCATCAATGGCAATAGACAGTTGTAGAAGCAACACCTAGAGCCAGGTTCACACTGAGGAGAGAACACTGCGCCTCCTCCTCATGGTTTCAGGTACTCTACATTCAGAGAAACTTCTCTAGTAACAAACCATAGACATGATCCCTGAAAGCATAGTCTTTGTTGTTCCTTTTTTCTAAAAGTCTTCTCCTGGTTCTTCCTTTGATAGGCTTTCTGTGATTTTTCAAGTCTAATCTTAAGTGTCACCTCTCACAGAAGACTCCTGTGACAACACTCCTAACCTATATCCCCCAACTCAGATTCTCTATCATATCACACTATTGTTTTCCCTTAAGAGCCCTTGACTGTGAGACATAATATTTGGCATTTAAATATTTGTCTGTATATCTTTTTCTTCTCTCTGTAGAATATAGGCTCCATGAGAACAAGGACGCCGGCTGCCATATTAACTACTATCTTCCCAGTGCTAGAACAGTGCATGGCACATGGTACTGCTCAACAAATACTTTTAAAAAAGTAAATAATAATTATGACACGTGACTTTTTTTTTTTTAATATCCATGGCAGGCCATAAAGGATCAGTGAACACTGTTGGTGAGCACTCACACAGTCCAGACTGATAACTCCCTCTGGATGTACTGTCCTGTAGAGTTGTCCATCTGGACTCTCCAGAGCAGGCTGCTTGGTTTTGTGACTGGGGCAGTTGGTGGGCTCCAGAGAGTTGGCACTCCATTGCTACAGTACATCTAAGAAAAGCTTTCTGACATTTTTATATCAAACAACCTGGTGTTTTATTTACTAGTGGTGTCATTTCCTAATTCCTTCAAATAATTGAAATAGCCTCATAATTTCTGATTATGTACCCAAACTTTCACTCCCCCTATATAGACTAAATTTCCCTAAACTTGGAGTAAAGATAAGCTTTACACCAAAGGGAAGAAAGGAAGATCTAGAAAGCTACTCAATTAAACCACAAATAGACCAGATTAGGCAGCACGATCACAAGATTGAGTCCAGAGATACTAACTCTAATTTATTTCTGTTATAAATTAATGAAAAACATTTCTTGAAACATATTAACTTATTCAGAGAAAGATGCATTCCTAGGAGAATAAAATGATATTGCTATGCTACAAAGAAATGGAAATTTTCAGAATATAAACCTGCTGACTGAGAGGCTTGTCTTGCTAGGACAGTACACATGGAGACTTTGCCATGTATTTTCTAATATCGTTTCAATTTCAAAACACCTTTATAGGTAAAACTTCACGTATGGAGGATAATAATGATTGCCTGAATGTCAATCCCTTCAAACCTTACCCCCCGAAACGTTAAGAGCAACAAGGAAGGCAAATCAAGCACATGTGACCCAAATCTTCAGCATTGCTAGAAGAGAGAAAATATCAACTTCAAATTACTTGTAAGTAAATAAATAAATACCAAATTCCAGAGTTCTCACTGCTGCTGCCTGCCTGTGTTGTGTCTGAAGAGTAAGAAAAGGGAGGCTAAAAGATTCTTTGTGGGGGGCACCTGGGTGGCTCAGTCGGTTGAGCATCTGCCTTCAGCTTGGATCATGATCTCCAGGTCCTGGGATCGAGCCCCGGGTGGGGCTCCCTGCTCAGAGGAGAACCTGCTTCTCCCTCTCCCTCTGCCTGCCGTTCTGCCTACTTGTGCTCGCCCTCTCTTTATCAAATAAAGAAATAAAATCTTTAAAACAAAAAGATTCCTTGGGGAACAGTACATATATGAGGTGCAGGAAAAGCACCCTAGGAAAAACAGAATTCAGCACCAAAATCCAAATAGTGGTCTGAATCTGGAAATTCACATCACCAAGCATCTGGAAGGTACCTGAAAATGAGAAGATGGTAGACTTAGAGAATTATTGCTGGGAGAGAAAGGTCAATAGAGAAAATTAGTGCCTCTTGGGAAGATGTGTTAGTAAAAAAGAAAAAAAAAAGAGTAAAAAGATGGGGGAGAGAAGTAACAATCTTATAGAAACAAAGGGGACAAAAATAAAACAACTTGGCCAGCTCTACCATCCCAAAAGAAACAATAGTATCCTTTAATTAAACTACGGTTTGACAAACTGAAAAAGGTCAGTCTCAAACCAGGAATCTTGTCCATCAGATGTTCAGAAATAAAAAAAGTCAAATTTCATACACAGCTATTGAAAGAACAAAATACAAACTGAGAATCAAAGATTTCAGTTGAGAAAATTCTCGTCAAACACACACACACACACACACACACACACACACACACCCCTAGAGAAAACTGCAACACAGCACTTGAATCAGAATTTTAAATCCTCAAATGCAAATTTAAAGTTTTTTTTTTTTTAAGTAAGAATTAGGGGTGCCTGTGTGGCTCAGTTGGTTAAGCGTCTACCTTTCACTCAGGTCATGATCCCAGGGTCCGGGGATCCAAACCTGCATCTGGCTCCCTGCTTAGCTGGGAGTCTGTTTTTCCCTCTCCCCCCTGTTTGTCTCTTTCTCAAATAAATAAATAAAATCTTTTAACAACAACAACAACAAATAAGAATCAAAAATTTAAAAATTAAGAATAGAAATGGTCCCCAAAATAACAACAACAAAACTCTCATAGGAAGAAAGCAACAAGAGTTTAGTTAGTTCAAAAAAGAAATTTAACAAAGATATAAACCATTTCTTTTTTTTTTTTAAGATTTTATTTATTTATTTGACAGAGAGAGACACAGTGAGAAAGGGAACACAAGCAGGGAGAGTAGGAGAGGGAGAAGCAGGCTTCCTGCTGAGCAAGGAGCCTGAGGTGGGGCTCGATCCCAGGACCCTGGGATCATGACCTGAGCTGAAGGCAGACGCTTAACGACTGAGCCACCCAGGTGCACCGATATAAACCATTTCTGAAAAAAGAATAAATTACAAAATGCTCAAGGGATAATAAATCCAAATGAAAATTTAATGAGGGCCATTGAAGGAAGGAAGAAAAACAATCAAGAAAATAAAATGAGATAAAGAAATAAAATGATTAAAGAGATGGTAAAGAAAACAGAAGGCAAGCTAAGAAGGCCCAGCATGCATATAACTAGAGTTCTGAAGAAAAGCAAAACAATCTAATAGCAGTAATATTTAAAACTGTAATCTAACAAAGCTTTCAAAAAACAGCTAAATTACATACTGAACGGGTCCCTTGTCTACCTTGTAAAGTTGACCCAGAACAATAAATTCTCAAAATCTTAGTAAAACTATCAGTCTTTAGAGACAAAAACAAAATCGTCAGGATTCCTGGACAAAAACATTAAATAATAAAAATAAAAAAATTACACTGGTGCCAGACTTTTTAAGAGCAGGGCCACAGAGTAATAGCATTTCAAAAAATCTAAAAAAAGTGTGAGCCGATTTTATATCCAATAAGTATCAAGCCTATAAAAATGAACAACTTTGAATGAGAAGCAACTCAAGATACACTGTAACCAGGAGCTCTTCATGAAGCTTCTACTGTAAGATGAACTCAGTGGAAAACAAAAGACAACTGGGAAGCTTCTACAAAGGACAGAAGATGAGCATTTCATATACTTAATTGTAGAACTAATACAGGGTTAGATGTGGGTTTTGATATATGAGGGAAAATAGTATGTAAACATCATACGTTCTGTGAAAAAAAAATAATGCAACTAGTAAATGGAAGGAGAAAATGGGATTAGAGCATTGGCTGTTGTAAATGTAATGGGTGGGAATCAAAGGACACCATTTACATTTCACGAATGGCAGAGTGAAACATTAAGTAAGAAATAAGGTGGGGCGCCTGGGTGGCTCAGTCGTTAAGCGTCTGCCTTTGGCTCAGGTCATGATCCCAGAGTCCTGGGATAGAGCCCCGCATCAGGATCCCTCCTGGGCGGGAAGCCTGCTTCTCCCTCTCCCACTCCCCCTGCTTGTGTTCCCTCTCTCGTTGTGTCTCTCTCTGTCAAATAAATAAATAAAATCTTTAAAAAAAGAAATAAGGTGATTAAAGGCACTATAAAAGGTATACATGAATAGGTATACGTGAATAAAACATAAGACAAAACTCCCTCAATATCAAAAGAAATGTTAAAAGAAAGAAGGCTTAATAAATGCAGAAAGAGGTAAATACAGAAAGAGGTGCAGTAAATATAATACGCTAGACACAGTAATTATAAAATAATGTTAAAAAAACAACATATCAAGCATAACAATAAATGTGAACAGGCTTCACTTACATACCAAAGGAAAAGGTTTTCAAATTGGCTCCTAGAGCAAACCCAGCTCTGCCGTGTGCAAGAGACACACTGAAAACAGTAACTCAAAAGTTTGAAACCTAAAGGCATGGGCAAAGACATACTAGGGCAATGGGAACAATAAGGAAGCAGGGCTTGTGTTTCTGATATCAAAGTAAAATTCAAGCCAAAAAACATGAAATGAGAAAAAAAGGGCATTTTAAAATGCTAGAAGCCACCACGTTTCACAAAGAGGAAATAAAAGTTATACCTATGCACCAAATAATACTGTAACCATTTATTGAAAACAAACATTAAAAATAGGAGATTTTGACACATTATTTTCAGCTCAAGACAAATCAAATTTAAAAATTCAGGCTAGAGAAAATCTAAATAACAAAATGAACAATATAGAATGTACGGGGATATATCAAACACTATATAGCAATATGGAGAATATGTTTTCTTCTTTAATGCACATAGAATATTCACAAAAAATTAACCATATATTAGGTTACGAAGAAAGCATCAGTAATTTCCATATTAGAAGCAATTACAACAACACTCCGATTGCAATGCAAAACAACTGAAAATTAAAAGAAATTTCACATGGAAATTAAAAACTCTAGTCTATTAAATAAAGTGGAAGAGGAAATACCACCATAAGTTACAAAACCTCTGAAAAAGGAAAGATAACTAAAACAATACGTTGTAGAATCTGTGGGGTATATTTAAAATAATGATCAGGGGAAAATTCAGTTTTAGACATCTGTATCAGTGGTCAGAAAACTAATCCCTGGAGCAAACCCAGCTCAATGCCTGTTTTGTATGACCTGCAAAAACAGTCCAGCTTATTTATTTATGTAGGTCTTAGGCCGGCTTTTGCACTTCAACTACAGAGTTGGATAGCTGTGACAGAGATAATATGGCTCACAAAACCTAAAATT